TAAATATATGTATATAAATATATACATATATACACACACACACACACATATATATATATATATATATATATGAGTCATTTTCCTAACTTTAACTTACCACCACCACTCTACTTGTCGCTGCAGATCACAACCTGTTCACCGTACCAGATCATCCGGGCAGGGGCAGGCCCACAGATAAAGAGAGAGAGGCCCGTGCTAATGCGGCACGCGACAAGGACAAGGATGAGAGTGCGCATCACAAACGGAGGAAGCAGAAGTCGAGGTATGTCTATTTATGTTTATATCCATCCTGCTCAGGATAGGGGTTCCAGGTCGTAGATTGTATGTTATGTGCGATTTGCCTATGCAAAGTACTTATCGAGGGTTATAAGTGAGCCTATATGGATACACTCGCGTAGAAGCAGAGGAGAGTGAGACTGACGGCGTATCTGTAGTTTCCGTTCCCGCGCCAGTTACCTGTATATACCAACACAAACACAGGACTGCATGTGGAACGTCTTTCATCTCTGCCGCACCCTTACCCTTAATCTCACCACTCTCCATACCTCCGCAGCTCTCAAAGCGGCAGCAGACGCCGCAACAAAGAGTACGACACAGACACGCACGCACACATCGCCACGGGCGACAGGGACTACAGAGAGAAGGGCCCCATCACCGTGCATGCATTCACACACGCACCCAAGGACGCGGACAAACCTGGCAGGAAGGACAGGGGTAGCCGCACAGTCACTGATGACGAGGATGACGAGGGGGGTGGTATTGCGGTGTCACGTACAAGTACGATCACATTGGCCGATGGCACTGTGGAGGTGCTAGGCCCACAGTTGGCAGCATTGCAGGCGACGGTGGCCGGGAATGCTGCTCATGGAGGTGTGTGATTGGGGGGGTTGGGACCAGTTTCTAGGGTTTTAGGGTTGGGGTCCAGGGGTTAGAGTTGCTGGGGTAGTAGTGCGACTCACGGTGGTCGGTGATTAGAGTTGGTGGGCTGAATTCGGGGTGTACGATTGTCGAGGTTTAATGTCTACTAGAGGGCGTAGGGATTCGGTCTCAGAGTTCAGGGTTTTCAATTTTAGGGTTTTAGGTGGCTGGGTTTAGAGTCTAAGGCGACTGGCAATGCTACTCATGAACACATGTGGGTACTGTTTGTCTGTGTAAAGTGCTTTCAATGGGCTACACAAAGTTGGCGAAGCTGCGTAGGAAGGTACATATCCGCTTCTTTTTCTCCCAAGCTCGCTTATATGTTTGTACACAATCACAGAATTGATGGAACACACTATATGCAGCCACCCCCAACCCCATCTCGCACGTATTCATATGTATGCACACACACACACAGCACAAATCGATCCCTCTTGCAATGAGCTTTCTCAACCTCAATCCGCAGTACTCATAAGTACGCCTGCGCACTCATCGCACATTAAAGCCACTGACCATGGTCACTCGCTACCGCATTTAAACGTACATAATTACGCCTGTGCACTCATCACACATCAAAGCCACTGCCCATGGTCACTCGCAACCGCATTTAAACGTACTCATATGTGCGCGTACACACATCACACATTAAAGCCGCTGATCATGGTCACTCGCAACCGCATTTAAACGTACTCATATGTGCGCGTACACACATCCATCACACATGCACGTACTCATATGTATGCCTTCACACACAGCACACATCGAAGAGACGGCGCGATGGTCGCAGGCGGAAACGGAGCTGCTGATTCGACTGTTAGGAGAAGTGGGCCGAGACTGGGTGGCGCTCAGTCAAGTTATCATCACAAAGTCAGACACGCAGTGTAAGAACTACTTTCACAACAACAAGCGCAGGTATGTACGCCGCGTGTGCTGTGTGTGTAGTATATCGAGGCGTAGGGTAGGGAGAGATAAGGTCAGGTGGAGTAGTCTTGAGTATAGTTCTGGACAAGGGAAGTATCTGTGGTGTATATAAAGTAGGGAGATTACGGGCGTAGTTAAAAAGGTGTATACTTCACAGTCCACCATCCACATGAGCACCTTTAGTTATGTATTCATGCGAGTGGTATATTGTTTAATCATGTAGATAATACAACTATGTGGTCATTATGATGAGATAGTTACGGAGTCAAGTAGATAATATCAGATGAATGTGCACTTTGCAGATAAGACTATATATTCTAAAGAGACAATGGTGTAAAGCTGCAGTTGAATACGAGGGTATGGGGATAAGCGCTGTTCATTGTCATTGTACTATGTCATTGTACTATGTCATTGTACTATGTCATTGTACTATGTCATTGTACTATTTTACTGTACTATGTCATTGTACTATGTCATTGTACTATGTCATTGTACTATGTCATGGTACTGGTTCATGAGGGACGGGAGACTCTATCCATGTCAGCGGCAAGTAAGACTCGGCACAGCCAGCGGTGTAGTAGTGACACTGAGTGGAGCCGAGAGCTTGTCCATCATCCAGCACATCACAGTGCACGTTACCTACCTATTATTCTTCTGCACCTGTGGTATGACCACGTTGTGGCTCTAATAGGCGTTGTATTCTCTATCTATAAACTATGTTGGGGTTACGTGTCCTTTGGGTTAAGCTATATTCAGATTATGTGGCTCGATATGACTACTTACAATCGGCCTTGCAGCAGTGAGGAGTGTCAGTCTCACCTAAGCCGGCACCTACCCACGATGTACCGGGAACGCTCTATTCGGGTTCGTTCGTAGGAATTCAAATGTAATTATTCAAAACAATTAAAACAATCCCCACCCAACGCCACCTCCACACACACAGAGACATAGACACACAAACTTACACACAGACACACACACAAACACACACATACACACACACGCACACACCATACGCACACACACACACACACACACATACACATACGCACACACATACGCACACAGACATACACGCACAGACACACACACACACACACATGCACGCCTTTTTGGCCTAAGCACTACTCAATCAATCGCCCTCCATTCACACGCCTCCAGACTAAACCTGGCCGAGATTGTCGCACAATGCGAGCTCAACCGCCAGGGCGAGGGCGACAAAGAAACCGGCAACCAGCTGGTAGAGGCAGCCGTGGTGGTGGGGCTGGAAATGGTAGGTAAGCGGAAGGCGCAGAAGGAGATGCGCACACGCCGGGCCAGTGAGAAGAACGTGGCAACACTAGACACACACAGTGACGACGACGCAGACGCAAACGCAGACGTAGACGCACAGGCAGACGCAGATGGCGATGGCGATAGAGAAGGAGAAGGAGAGGGAGAGGGGTATTCGGATGGGGAGTCGGATGGGCCACCGTCAGCGGAAGAGGAGAGCGAGACGCCGGCTGAGGTGGTGGGAAAGATCAAGTATAAGCACAGGGATAAAGAGAAGGAGAAGGAGAAGGAACGAGAGAGAGAGAAGGAGAAAGAGAAAGAGAGAGAAAAGGAAAAGGAGAAAGAGAAGGACGCACGAGTCCATGGGCACAGGCAGGGGACGGCAACTGAGGCGGGTGGGGCGCAGAAGAAGCGCAAGAGCAAGAGCAGGCAGACATCGCCCAGGCCGAACAAGCGCCGCAAGTCAGGTGGGTGGGGCGACGGTTGGTGTGTGTTTGCATGCGTATCTATCTATAGCGGTGGAATATGCATGTAGAGGCAGCGTATGTGGGATGGTAATGCACATGCCTGTGTATGTGTAGTGTGTATGTGCACATGTATATTCAACCATAGCTGTGGAGTGCGCATGTAGAGGCAGCGTATGTAGGATGGTAATGCACATGCCTGTGTATATGTACGTGTGTAGTGTATGTGCACATGTATAGCTAACCATAGTTGTGGAGTACGCTTGTAGAAGCAGCGTATGTGGGATGGTAATACGCATGCATGTGTATGTGTACGTGTTTAATGTGTACGTGCACATGTATATCTAACCATAGCTGTGAAGTGCGCATGTAGAGGCAGCGTATGTGGGATGGCGCTGAAGAAATCGAGTCGAGAGTGAGCGGGCGTTCAAGGCCTGGGAGTGTAGTGGTGTGTGTGTTACGTAGGGTGTGTCATACAAAAGGCAGATTAGTACAACCCTCACATCAAGTGCTCTTGCCACCGCATCTTGTGCGTGGTGTGTGTATCTATGTGACATGCACATATGGCTGACTGAGATGTTAGTCCATTTACAACACGTATGACATGTGTATGATGTGAGATCGCATGCCATGTCCCCTTTTGTACCATGTTTGGGGGCGCTCCGCACGGGACCCATGAGAATAGCACATGCCGTATGTGTACGTTTCTGTGTATATATAGCACCTGCCGTGTGTGAACGTTTTTGTGTATATATAGCAGATGCCGTGTGTGTACGTTTTTGTGTATATATAGCACCTGCCGTGTGTGTACGATTTTGTGTATATATAGCACATGCCGTGTGTGTACGTTTTTGTGTATATATAACACCTGTCGTGTGTGTACGTTTATGTGTATATATCGTACATGCCGTGTGTATACGTTTTTGTGTATATATAGCACATGCCGTGTGTGTACGTTTATGTGTGTAAAGCTTTATATGGCCATGTATGGGGATTTCCGAGGTCACTGAAGTCACGACTTGCGTCCGTACTATCGGCAGAGTCGACTATAATTTCGCTGTCGGTGCCTGTCTCGCGGCAGACGTCTGTGCCGAAAGGCGGAGAAAGCGCGGCATCGGAAGATGAGGGCGAAGCGAAACCACACAGCGTGTCAATCAGTAGAAAGTCTTCGGTGAAACGAACAGGGCAACACGGACATTCGGAGAAGGACAAAGGCAAAGTGTCCCACAAAACACGGTATATACATACATACATACACACACACACATACATCTATATCTATATCTATATCTATATCTATATCTATATCTATATCTATATCTATATCTATATCTATATCTATATCTATATCTATATCTATATCTATATCTATATCTATATCTATATCTATATCTATATCTATATCTATATCTATATCAATATCAATATATATATTATAATATATATATATATTGTATGTATGTATGTATGTTTACACACACACACACATATATATATATATATATGTATATG